ATTCCTCCTTCACCAATGTGGAAAATAGGAGGTGACTGAAACAACCATTGGTTCCCAGAGCAATGGCAATCATGGTGGAAGTGAAAGCCAGATGGAAGACTCAGAAGTCTTATTTCACATCCCTTATGAGTCTTGTCACAAAGGCTCCCATGTCCCTGAGGTAGTACCGGTAATCTGTATGTGGTTTGTGATGGTATTCAAAAAAAGTCTGATCAAAATGTGCATTTTATAAGTAAAGGATGCATGGGTTATAAATCAATGCTACATGTTGAACAGTCCAGCCATTTCACAAGATGGCAGGCCTGAGAGTTGAAATGTAACATTTAAAAAAGTCTAATTGGGACCTTCTGGCTCATACTAACCTGAATGTTTTGGGATTATAAAACTGTGAGAGAGCTCTGAGCTGATTCCTTTAAATCTCATTTTGTTTTTCTGTCTTTAATCCTAATGAAAGCATTCAATACCAAAGCCCTAACTAGCTGAAATAGTGCAAATAACAGCAAATTTCTTTGGCTTGAATTATTTCCATAAATGCTCCACTTTCTACCTGGAGTTAGTGTTGGGCCAGAAGTCATCCTGGAACTGCATTTCCTATTTGTGAAAGAAAAGCCATCAAAGGCTATGAGATAGAAGCCACAAATTGAAGATGCAGAGCAGTATTCTCGTCCTCATTTAATAAAATACTTATCATATAAATTTTAAAATATAGATATTAGAAAAGTAACAACAAAAAACTAACATGAAGAAAAACCCAACTTCAGAAATCTGTAAAAGGGTGTTTTCTTGAAAAAAACCTCACCCTGCTGAATCACTCAATTTTCACATGTGACTTTGTTCAAAAACAAAACATGTTCAGTTTCCATTCTCAGTTCAAATCCATTGTTCTCTAGGTAATTGCCCCAGATCAGCGGGGTATTGCTCTCTGATGTACCAGGAGCAAGTAATTTCAGCTGACAGCACTCTGCCATCTCTTGTAGATTTTTTTTTAAAAAGAGATTCTTTGGCATCCAAAGAAGTTGAATACATCTGACAAATGTCTGCGACACTTGGGTAAGGTTCAAAGTCTTTTCTCTGTGCAAAGAAAGTACATTAAAAGTAAGTGGACTCCATTCACTTTTTGAAAATTCCCTACATGCTAACATTTGTATACCATATTGTTATTGGCTGCAATACCATTTCTTATGAGTTCAATGCTATCTACCATATGAAGCACTTTACAAAACCTACCAATAATTCTCACCTTACAAGTTTATTAATTTTATAAAACTGTAGTAGATAACAATGCTTCAATAGTTCCATAGCCCTCCTTGTCTCTTTTTATCAGTACCCTCTTAAGAAACAAAACATTGCACTTTGGAGAACAGGTGGCTCTGTCATAGCTGCTCTTCTTCCTGCCCCTGCCCCTCAACAGTGCTCTATTTATAAGCATTGTTCCAGTCACCTGGATTATAGACACCAACTCAGAGTAGTTACAGTTTCTCAGAATGAGGAACAGAGCACAGAAACTCTGCTCTTAACTTTTCATATTGACGAGGGCTAGCGACATAGCTCAGTGGTAGAGCATTTGACCAAAATATGTAAGACCCTGAGTTTGAGCCTCATCACAAAACAAACAAAATACCTAGAAACTTGTTAAGTGCAAAAGATCAATGACAGTTCATGTGATCCAGCTCTTATTCTGAGGCACATTTACATCTAGGTGAGTCTCAGCTGATGTGAGCCCAAGGGAATCCTTTTCCTTGATCTTGTGTAGGTGATGAGAGCACTACCAGAAAGGAAGACTAAGGTTAGAGTCCGGGTTCCAATCTTGGTTTTGTCACTGACTCCCTAAGTAACTTCGGCAAGTTTCTCTCTGGCACTCACTTTCCTTATGTGTGAGACACTGAACCAGATTTTCTAAAGTTTTTTAGATGTAATTTTTTTTTTTTTTTTTAGTCTTTTTCTTTTTTATCGGTATCGGGGATTGAACTCACGACCACATTCTTGTAAGGCAGGTGCTTTTGCCACTGAGCTAAATCTCCAGCCCCTAGTTTTTTAGATGTAATTTTGTACAGTTATTTCTGAGGATGGCCTCAACAAGCCTTGCTATTTCCCACCTTTTTAAGGTATTTACCTTATTACTGTAAAATGGATGTAATTTCAAAAATGTGTACACCTCTATATATACTACCACACTCAAGGGGTGGAATATTGCTATTATTACCACCCCCCAATTTCCCTCATGCCCTTTTGCTAGCAACCCCTGCCCTCCAGCCTCAAGCAACCAGTGATCTTCTGTCACTATAGACTAGTTTGCCTTTTCCAGGATTTCATAATAAATAGAATCAAACATAATGTGCTCTTTTGTGTCTGGCTTCTTTCACTCATCCTAACCACATCCCTTTTCTCCCATTAAGAGTAGGATCTTTTTCACAACACCTTCAATGCAGAATGGCCTTCTCTGACTTGCTCTGACCGAAGACAACAACAATGCTATATCATCTTCTTCATTCCCTTGGAAGACCGATGCCATGGGAAAATGCTAGTTGGACTACTGAATTACTCAAGACCAGGAGGATGGGCACCCCATGAAGGAGAACCAAGTCATCTCACCCAGGCACAGACATATAAATGAAGACATCTTAGATCTTCCAGCTAAGGCACTCCAGTCAAGAACACACAAAGCAATGTGATCATGATATATACCTAAAACATACTGATAAACCTTAAATGAAGCAGAAACAGTCATCTTCACTGATTCCCACTTAAATTCTTAACCCAAAGAATTATGAGTGAACACTCTTTGTTTAAACCACTAAATTCTGAGGTGGCTTGTAACACTGTAGGATTTAACTGCAACCATGAGTTTTCTGCCTCATCTTCTTTTAAGGGCCAATAGAATTTCTTTCTGACCCTAGGAGTATTAATTAACGGTCCAGATGTTTTACCTTAAGCCTTTTCTACTTTGTTTTCTTTTCATATTGCTCTTCCTTTAGGTATCATAGATTGCAACTAATTTCTAACCACATGATTTGGGTTGGAAATTTAGTCTTTTTTTACATTCCACTTTACAGGGTTAAAAATATCAATTCCTTTAGATTCAGCATTCTGGCATTTGAATTACAGTATGCTCTGAAGAAAAGAAATGCAGAATTTAGAAGCCAAGAATCTTAACTTCGTACCTCATAAGCTGTATAGTTCTGGGCATGTTTGAAAACTCCTTATCTCTGATTTTCTCCATGTAAAATACAGATATTCCCTGGGATGATAGAGCACAAAGTGCAAAAACAGATGGAATAGTTATACAAAAATAAAAGCACCTAATTTCTATAACCCTGAGGGGTCCTCTGCATTTGCATGCCCTCTGTGTGTCAAGGTCTGTCATAGGTTTGAACTTGCAAAATACATTTTCCTAAGACAGAAACTCTATTTCTGTCTTACTGCTTTTTTGTTGAGAGATTTGAGCACATGTGTATGGGGCAGGGAACAGAGACAGTGACAGAAAGATTTTGCAACTCTCCACACAGTTACAAGACTTGGTCAGGGGAAATCCACATGAAAGAAACCAGAGAGCAAGAGGCTGTTGAGTGTCCTGGGGAAGCTTGTCTCATTGGTTTTCCCGATATGAAGGTGGCTGTTCTCATGAGGCTCTCAGGTCTTTGCTGTCACTGAGGATGGCTGCAGTGCTTTTCTGGGGAGCTCTGGTTCTTGAGTGTCACTTCCTGGCTCCAGGGAAGACCCCTCCACCTGCTGGCACAGATCCTTCATTCTGCTGGAGCAGACTTTCTAGCTTCCATCACTGACTTTTGGACCTTCCCAGTGCAGATTCTTGATACAGACTTGCATGAGACATTGCCATGGGCTCTTAGGTCTTCAGTTGGACCCATGTGAGACACTGGTATGGAATCCAGGCCCTTGGCTGGATTCTCTGGGTCTCTAGTGCATGGACAGATCTCTTGCATTCTTCTGCATTGACTCTTTGGGTAATTATTATAAAATAATCCTATGAATTATGTGTCTTGTATTAAATCTATTCTCCTGTAAACCCTGCCTACAAGTAGGTTCATCTCAGAGACTCAATCCCTGGAATGCAGTGGAAAACAATCTAAAAGAGCTCTACTCTTTCATTCTTTAGAAAATGGAATGGCAAGAGTGACTCAACTGTTCCTTAATAGATTACTGCTCCAAAATTAAATGACCAAGTTTGAAGGGACTGATCTTTCCAGTGTCTTGGGGCTTTGTGCTCAATCCTACAATGCCTTCAACAAAGGGCAGGTTGGTTTTTATTTGCTGAGTCAGCTGGTATTTACAAAGCTAGCTAGGTACTAAGCTCCAGGAACAACAGTAACCAAGTCTCTGCTCTCATGCATTTACACTGAGGAAAGAAAAACAGACAAATATGTAAAACATGTAACTCATCAAGTGGTTATAAATGCCATTATGGGGGAATAAAAGGATTATGAGACATATTAGCAAGAAGCTCTAAACCATGCCAGTGTTAGGGAAAAACAAACAAATCTGTTTTCTTCCTGCCGTTATAGGCTGTGTGCTCACATAGATATCTTCCCTGATTTCCCTGCCCAAGCCGGGCTTTTCTGGACTCGGTTTCCGCTCCCCTCCTAGGTGCAAGCACTTTGCCAGCTATTCATGAAAACCGAAGTATTAGGGGATGTGGCCGGCGGGCTGTTTCAGTCCGTGCTGCCCCCGCCACACGGATATCCATTCCATCCCGCAGCTCCCTCGATCAGCCCTTTTTCACAGAAGAAAAGGCCATGTTGTGGGAACTCAAAGAGAACCTGGCTCCGCACAAAATCTGAGAGGAGTACAAAACCGAAGGAAGAAAATACCAAAGATATGAAGGAGCTGGCTCTCTACGCCTACCAGCGGGGGCTCAAATCTTAATCAGAAAGCACAGACCATAATCACCGGAGAACCCCGAGCGGCTGCTCTGCCCCGACCGCTGGGGGCAGCCCTTTCCCGCGCCCCCGCAGACGCCGCGGCCACCGCCGGTTCCCTGAGAGGCGGGCCGCACGCCTTGGCCTCGCAGGCTCCAGACGCCACCGCCGCCTTCTCCTCGTCCCCGCGTGGGGCAGCCATCCCCTCTCCGAAGCACCCAGGGCGGACGCAGCCTCCTCTGTCCCAGCTTCCTCGCGACCCCGCGCCCTCCGCCCGCCGCCTGGGCGGGAAGTAGCGCCGTCCGCGCGCGGAGGGACACGCACGGCGTGGTGCGGCCCGCGCCTGGCTCTAGGCGGCGCGGCGAGGGGCCCTGGAGTGCACTGGGCGCCCGCCCGCGCCTGACCCCGCGCGGGTCCCGCGGCGGAGGCGGCCGCGCCCCCAGAGGCGCCCTCTGCGATCTCGCAGGCCTCCGGGTCTGGCTCCCGCTGAGCCCCAGGCCTGGGTGTGACTGCTCGGCTGCGGGCTGTTGGTCAGGCCGATCCGTGCGAGGAGCCCCGCAGCCCGGCGACGGGCAAGAGCGTGCCCAGGACCCAGTCAGACTTCAACGCGGGCTTCCGATTTCTTCAGGATTCCAAGTGAGATCATGCAGGGCAGATTACCTAACTGCATGTAGTGAGTTTTCCCAAACAGCCAGCGTTAAGTTGGCAGTGCTACGGAGCAAGGATAGAACTAAGAAGTGTGGGGGTGAAGAGGTTGGCAAAAGACCATAATCTGACTTCACTTCTGTGAAATTTTATAAGAAAGAGTACACCGTAGTGACGGAACACATTAGCTTGGGGAGGAGAAACAGGGACTGAATGCCACGCAGAGGAAGGAGGGAACTTTTAAGAGGTGAAAGAACATGTCCCGTCCCTTGTCCCTTAATGGAAGCAGTGGTTACGAGACTTACACGGAGGGCCAATATTCATCAACCTGTAGTCTGTAAATGGGATGAAGTTTATCTTTATGGTATTCAAATAATAACATACTTTCCTCAAAAAAAGTTGGAAAAGGAAGTTTTTAAAAATGATCCTTGTTAGGTATAGTTGAAGATGAGGGATAAGTTGTTGGGGGAAAAATTAGATTACAAAAATCAGCGTTAAATGCATGAGTGTCTGAATACAATGGCTTCTTCTAGTCTTCGTGTCCTTCTAGAGCCAGTATACACCAACTAGGAACAGCTTAGGTCCAAGGAATATCCACCATTGCAGAGCAGTTGATGCTCCTAAATTTGTTAAGCTCTCTTGTTGATGTAGAGTATAGGCCTCTCTTGCTATGGCATCCTCTCCCTGGGTGAGGGTCAAGCTTCAACACTGTCTCCGTGATGGTGGGATATAGTCTGGCGGCTGGTTCTTGCCCCAGACTCAGGTGAGTCGGTCCTCACTTGAAAATAGGGTACGCTCTTGCTTCCTTGGCAGTTGGCTGGAGGGATCCAGTTGCTGTATCCTGAGAAGTGAGAGAATGAGAGGCCAGTGAGAACTTGCACAAAAGGGACAGAAAACAAATCGTAGCTATTTTATATGCTCATTCCCCCTTCCTCCCAGCCACCCGGTTCTACAGAAAAGCTGCCTTTGGGACTGAGCAACCAGCTGTATTTTCTTATGAAGTTGCTTTCAGGTTAATAATGCTTTCCTTTGCATTTCCCCTCACCTTGTCTGCTCTGGAATTTACCTTCTAATCAAATCTTAGCACTTAAACTTGGCCTCAGGCTCAGCTTTCTAGTCAATCCTTTAGCAATCTTTGGACTTTCTTAAAATTTCATAATCACAAGCAAAAGTAGGATTCCTCCACCACCACACTGCATTTGGCTCTGGCTTACTGGAACATTAAAACATTGATTAATTTATTTTTGGTAATCCTGATATAGTTTATTTATTTTTATTAGTCTATGTTTGTAGTTCCTAATGGTTACATTCCTTGTGTGGAGTTGGTACATATATATAACACATCTTCTCTTTCTCTTTTTTATCGGTACTGGAGATCAATACTCACGACCACCTGCTTGCAAGGCAGGTGCTTATGCCGCTGAGCTAAATCCCCAGCCCCTTATATATCACATCTTAACTCCCTGTTTTCATCTTCTTTCCTTTCCCTCCATCCCTTGATTCTCTTCCCCGTAAGAAAGATCTGTCTCCCTACTTCCTGTTACCTTTTATTTTGGTCTTTATTTATAATTTGGGTTTGTCAGAGAAACCACTTGATAGTTAAAACTATCTAGACAATCACTTGAGGCCAATACTAAATGCATGTAGCCCCCTATTTGAAGTTGGTAGGGGTAAAAGTTTTGGCTTACATTTATTGTTTATAGTAGAAAGTCCTCACAGGTGTCCTCCATCATAAGCACTTGCATATTTTAAGGAAGCTTGAAAACCTTGGGATGTATGAGGGAGCAAAACAAAAGCTGCGGATCTAGTTATATATTTTTCATTTATCATAAAACCAAGTTCTATCTTTCCTAAAATCAAAGGAGGACATAGTAAAGCCTTATTTAAAGTGACTACTGGTTCACAATTCTAAGACAATTTCTAAAAAGTGTTTTTCTTGCATTATTTTAAATATCGGAAACTTCAGTAAGTTTATATTTTTAAATGACAGTAGCCACCACACCATGATTTTGTGGCCAGATGTTTATTTGCAAGTTTGTCAGGCCTTCCCCGGACTTCTTTCCCACCTAGCTAGCCAACCAACTGTAACTTGATCAACAGTAATTTGAGATGGGATTGTCCAAGTTCCCATGTTAAATAGAACATTTCCACTTTTCTGATTACAAAATCCTCCCTTTTCGGGGCTGGGGATTTAGCTCAGCGGCATAAGCGCCTGCCTTGCAAGCAGGCGGTTGTGAGTTCGATCCCCGGTACCGATAAAAAGGAAAAAGACAAAAAAAAAAAAAAAAAATCCTCCCTTTTCTGGCCACTTAAAAAGTGTTGCATACCCTACAAACACATGAATCTAAGGATTTCTGCTACATGCCTTGGCAAAGGTCACACCTGCACATTTTACCTATTGTCAAAATGGTTTTTTTATTATTTATAACTACCATCTGGGAGCATTTAAAATACATATTTTTAAAACACGTTCTATCTTCATCCACAACATTATAGTGAATTGACTTTTCCAGGGAAAACTAATCATTCTACCATGTTTACAATTTTTAATTTTCACATTTGAAAAAATGCTTCAGCTGAGGTTACTTTCAGTCACAAGCAAAACTAAAATTAGGCAGCACACATAATGTATTTAATATTTTCACCAAAAAGAAAAAGACATTTAAACATATCTTTGGGTTACAGACATTTAGCATCAGAGGACAATACAGATAAATGGAAAATGAGAACTTATATTTAAATCTTAGCTGTTGATTCTTTCCAAATTTATGAGCGCTGATAACATTTAGCACATGCAGATATTATACATACAAATAAGGATTGACTTCTTCATAGGAGGTCATAAGTTTGCTGCAGTTGTATTGCTATTACTCAAACCATTTTAGAATTCTTTACAAATTGGTCACAAGAATGAGTCACATTCTTTTAAATGATATCATCAAGTGATAGCAAATATCTTCCTCCTCTGAGAGCTGATTTAATTTTTAGAAATACCCCAAAGTCATTTGAAACTACACAAGCTTAGTAATATTACTTAGCAAAGAAAAATTTAACTAGAAACTAAGTGAATTGAGAAATATTTTTTAAAAAACTCCAAGAAAAAGATTTTTGCTATAAAACCTATCAAAATGATACAAAAAGAACTCTCAAAAATATAGGCTTGCATAGAAAACCAATGCCAAATTCTCATCAGGATGCTAGAAATTAATGAATCAGACAATAAATTATTGATTGCCTTCAAAGGTAATTCTTTAGAAAAAATAGCAAGAAAATGGAGAGATCTCTGATAATCTACTTAATAAAGTAAAAAAAACTGTACAGGAGGAAGGAAAGAGCAGGTAAGGAGTAGTTGTGTTTTGTTTTGTTTAATGTATGTGACACTGCTAGGTAAAGCTAACTATATGCTAATATATTTTTTTCTGAAAAAACAAAAATCACCAAAATATACAGGATAGAAAGACTAGATCAAAGCTGGAGAAAGAATCAAAGACTTTAGGCCTAATGGTTCTGTAAGCAAATTCCTAAAAATTTGAAAGTGATATTTCACTTTCCTAAATGCATAAGGATTAATCTATGAATTAAATACTTTTTTTTCCTGCAGTACTGGGGATCGAACTCATGACCTCGTGCTTGCCAGGCAGGCACTTATGCCACTGAGCTAAATCCCCAGCCCAATACTTTTTATTATAAAGCCTATCAAAATGGTACAGGAAGGACACTCAAAAAATGCAAACTTACATGAGAAAAACAATGCCAAAATCCCCCCCAAAGTGCAGGCAAATTAAATTCACTGAAGTGATTGTTAGGTAAGTTTTACCCAGGAAATGGTAGGACATTTTAATATTAAGACAGTTTAGAAAATAAATCCTGATTAAAACAACTAAATTTAAAATATTATATAATAAATATTAAACCACTAACCATCACTGTATCTTTAAATAATGTTTTGTAAAAATATTAAAGCAAAGGGGCTGGAGATTTAGCTCAGCGGCTGAAGCGCCTGCTTTGCAAGCAGGCAGTCGTGAGTTTGATCCCCAGTACCGGTACCGATAAAAAGGAAAAAGACAAAAAGAAAAAAAAAAATTAAAGCAAATTGTAAGATAGCTAAACTTTAAGGAAGGAAAGAGAAAAAACATAAATTAATTCCTCAATATCTCATCACCACTTCTGATTCACTCTTACCAGGAATAACTTCTATTAGCAGTTTCTTACTTGTCCTTTCAGAAATTTTCCATGCACGTTTTTCCCCCTTGAAAAAGATAATGAAATTATATTATACATATTGTCCTGTAGTTGCTTTTTTATTTCATAAAAAACTTGGATTCTTCCCACATCAACACATTACAGATCTACCAAAATTTTTGACAAAGGTTAGGTATCATAATATGTCACCCATCTATAGGTGACCAGCTGGATTATTTTCTAGTTTTCTGAAACTAAAAAATACTAGATTGTTACAGTGAACATCATTAAATGTCTTTCCCTGTCTATTAGAATTAATATCTACTAAAGGAATTGCAGATTGATATTTGGGTAGGTATTTCCAAATTGGTATCCAAAGGGCTAGATTATAATTCCACTGAAAGTGTATGCAAAAAGGCGATGAATACATAACAGTTTATTCAACCTACTTTTTTTTTTTTTTTTTGGTACCGGGGCTCGAACTCACAACTGCATGCTTGCAAGGCAGGCCCTTATGCTGCTGAGCTAAATCCCCAGCCCTTATTCAACCTACTTTTATATGTATTTTTGAATTTCTATACTTTAAACATATTTCTGTGTTTAATGGTATGACTATACCTGACTTCTCACTAGAATCAGGTATAAAGGTGCGTGCTATCATGACTATTATTTAAAAAGTATGCTGAAATAATTCTGTTACTAGGACCAAAAAAAGTGAAATAATAAGTAGAATATTACAAAGCAATGAGAATATCTTTATTTTCAGACAATACTTTTGTCTAAAAACTTTACAGATTTGATTGAAAATCTAGTGTAAAATAACTATTAAAAATCAAGTTTCACAATGTCTGTTATACAATTTGGTCCTTATTGACACTTTGGTTTCTTACACCAGAGAAACAATGTGGTATTTACATGTGTGTCTGATTTCACTTGTGAAATAGGTAGAAAATGTTTAAATGGGAAGGAAATCTAGAGAGAGGGAAGGGGGAAAGGAAGGAAGGGAAATGAAAAAAATAGGAAAAAAGGAAAAAATGCAAACAAAGCTTTTGTAAATGAGGGAAAGAGAGGTAGAAGGAAGGGGTAAGGCAATGGGAAAAAAATCAAGTTATATCATGTACAGGTACAAGTTCCCTATAATGGACGTGATCATTACATATACCTAAAATGTACCAATTAACTTAATTTTTAAAATTTAATAAATTGACTGACTGTGATGTCTCAAGCCTGCAAGCCCACCTGAGGTACAAGGATTGCAAGCTGGAGGCCAGTCTGGGCAACTTATTGAGACCCCATCTCAAAACAATATAAAAAGCCTGGAAATGTAGCTCAGTGGTCAGGTGCTTACCTACCATGCACAAGGCTCTGCATTCAACCCTCAGTACCAGAGGGAAAAAAATCAAGAACTTTTTCACTGATCAACCAATTGACTATTGGGAAAAATAATTTTTTAAAAATATACTGTTCACACAGGGACTGAATGAGATCTATAAGAAAAAAGATAAAAATAATGCAAAAAAGGTTTGAATATATTAAGAAATATGCTCTCAGATATATCTATTCATGTTTTGTAATTTTAACTAAAATTACAATGAGTATTTTTAAGCTGAAAAAAATAATTTCTGTCTGAAGAAAAAACAAAGACTAACCAAAGAGGTTTGAAAAAGAGTAATAACAGAGATATTAAACATATTATAAACCCATAATAATTACAATGATACTGAAATACTGAGGAAAGATTGACAAATACAGTAGATTAACATTTCAGAATGCATACCCTAAAAGAAAATTCAATATACAAGTGAATGAATTACTAATAGGGAGGACATGGATAAGAGAAAAAATTAGATTAAATACTTGTTTCATACCATAGGCTGAAATACATTCCAGTTAAAGTAGAAATGAAACTGAAAAAACAAAAGGTAGTAATTAAGTGATTTTTGCATAGAAAAGAACTAATCACAAAATAATGGAAGAAATCACAGATTTATATGCATAATCCTTTAGAACATCTATATGTCAGAAATTATAAATTACAGAGAGGAAGATGAATATCGTAACATGAAAGAACTAATATTAACACCTTTCAAAATGCCTTTAACAATTCTTTTGAAGGAATAGACTGGACCATGTTTTGGGCAGCACCAGCATCACTGTATCATGAGTGTCAACTCAGAGCAAATCACTGTGAAGAGGTTTCATCTGAAAGAGTCATCCCATTTTTAGAATGCTTAGGTGTTGCTTGCAAGTTATTTGGCTTGTTCCCACCTCATTCCCTTTGTATAAGGAACACTTGGATTTTGAATGCTTGAACCCCAGAGTAGTTACTATTCCCATTTTCCAATCTAGAAAGGATTTAATTTATGGCTTTAAGCATGCAAGACAGCAAACTAAAAAATAAACAAGTCACTTGAACTAAAATCATTAACAGAGAAGCCATGCAGAGTGAGTACCATTTACAAAAAGAGAGGTAACTGTTAAAAGGGCCTGCTAAGCCTCAGAAGACCATGTATGCACAGCCAGGATGCACCACCCTCGCTGTCAGGGGCCACCCTCCAGGGACACAGCTTAACTCTGCACAGGGCCCAAATGGGAAGAGGTCTCCGTGGCCTCATGCCAGAGAGTGGGAGTCTGAGAAAAGTATCTGGACCCGAGGAAATGAGGTCCCTCTCTGGGGATCCAGACTGTTGCTAGCATGTTCTCATTCCATATTCCATAATCTTCATGATTAAACTAAGTAACCATCACCCAACAGCCCCAGCATTTAGGTACTTAGATGATCTCCATTACACAGAAAAGTAATGTGCTGATGTTCATACAACTAGAAAATGGAAGCAGCAGCCAGGAAGGCAGCTGGGGCCAGAGCCAGCGCTCATTGGCCATGTGTGGCTCTCAGACCCTGCACAAAGCCCTCTCATGCACAGGAACTCATGTGACCCTCACAATTTTTTGAAGAGGTTAGGGAATAATCTCTCTAATTTACACTAAGGCAATGGGAAGCCAGAAATGGGGTTTGGAAGTCTTTGTTTTACTTTATTTTTTAGTAATCTGAAAGAAACTGAGCCCAAAGTATGGATAGATTTGTGATATGGATTAACTGGTTGGAAAACAAAGTTTAGAAAGCTTGGATCAGAGAAAGAAGTACCCTCAACTTCTAAATCGATTAAACACAAGCTTCATAGAGAGGAAAGAAGTAAGGACCAGAAAATAGAGGTCATCCTAAGAACAGCAAAAATAAATGAGTCCATTGAGATTCACAATGATGCTAGCTAGATAATAAACAGTTAAATCACATGCACAGCATTCCCATTATTTTGGAATCTGCCTTTTTGTAATACTAGCTCCCATTCAGTATCACTGTTTATTCAAAAATCTTGTTAATTTATGTCTCTTTATTTACATGCCCCTTGTTAGTTTAAATAATAAGACTAGAAGACTAACCACCAAAATGAAGTTTCCTTTGAGCAAAAGGATTTTCACTTAGGTTTAAAATACAATCGTGGTAATAAAGTTTAAATAAATGCTTCTAGGATTTCCTTACATAGAACTAAAACAACATTAGTTAACCTTGTTAGGTCTGAGAAGGGGGTGATGGGGAAGGAGTGGAGTGGGGAAAGAGAAAGGGGGGATGGAGAAGGAAGGAAGGAGTGGAAGGAGTGGAGTGGAGTGGCCGGCGGTGGCTGCAAAAATAAGAAGTATAAAATATAAGTAACCTTTATTTCGAGAATGTGGGGAGAGGACCCCCCCCGGCCCCCGGGGCGCAGCATCTCCACCCCAGGGCTGGCGATCTCTCTCTGGAACACTCACTCTCTTTTCCTGAACACATGGAGTGAGGCACATAAGTATCCTCAGTCTGGGGTGGAACCTAGGTTGTATTAGGGATGCACAGGTAGCCCATTGGCACACGTTTGGCGCCAGAGGTAGGTTACTAAGCGCAGGGGTATAGGGTTACAGGTAAATCTCTAAGGGGCAGGGGAGGCAGGAGCTCCTTAATTTGGCTGAGGCTTTTCCTGGTTAAAGTGTCCAGTCTGGGCCTGCAACCCTTTCATATCCCGTCTTATGATTATTAGGAAAAGGGGCGAAGATTTCTCTCTGTAACTACTTCCTGCTAGCTGAGGGTGCTGTATTGGGGTCTAGGGGAGTCGACGGGATGAAGGTTGATGCCCAGGTAGACGCTGATGTTAGGGTCATCCTGATAAAATAACAGGTTTAAATCAAAGACACCTTTCCCTCTACCTCACTTGGGTCCATAAATATGACAGTGCCATGTCTCCTCATAACATCTTGTCTCTTTGTTTTTTTCAGTCTAACATACGTGCATTCACCAGTGAGGTTGTCCTGGCTAAAACACCCCAGACTGAGGATACTTATGTGCCTCACTCCACGTGTTCAAGGGAGAGTGTGTTCCAGAGAGAGACCCCCGGTCCCGGGGTGGAGATGCTGCGCCCCAAGGGCCGGGATGGGGGTGTCTCTCCCCACATTCCCAAAATAAAGGTTACTTATATTTTATACTTCTTATCTTTGCAGCCACTGCCGGCCAATCTACTCCTTCCCTACTCCACTCCTTCCTTCCTTCCTTCTCCACTCCTTCCCCCTCTTCTTCCCCTTCTCAGACCTAACAAACCTCTGAAATTGCTGCTTGATTTTTGTCACATTTTAAAATTCTGAAATATTGTGAGTACAAAGAAAACTCACAAGAAATATGCATGCCTAAAAAACTTTCATGAAATGATTTAAATGGATTAAAACACCATCTGTTTAAAAGGAAAATAACTCTTTTTTCGATAAGATTATCACCTGCACTCAATTAATTTTATCTAATTTTATAGGTATCAGAACAAATGCTTATTTTCTATATTTCGAAATGTTTAGTTCTTTGGGACTTACATGTCGGCTACCTGTATAAGGAAAATTTGTTTACCTACTATAAATTATAAGAATATCCTCATTTTATTCAGCATCAGTGTCATAAGAATTATCATAAGGACACTATCTCTTTAGTATAAACACTACTGTAAGTTGCCATCTAACTCCTTTTTCAAAGTGAGCAGACTCCAAGAAATGAACCCTTCCTGATTTCCTTTGCCTGCTCCAAACACGCATTCTTTCTCTAATTCTCTACCATCAAAATCCATCATTGACCTGTAGGAACCAAACAAATTCCTAATGTTTGATCTCAAATAGTTTGTTTTAAAAAATTGAAGAATTGTTCAGACAGAAATATGTTAGCTATGCCTCAGGCAAAAAAAAAATGAAAAGAGTTCTTAATTCATTTTTCTGAGTCCTTTTTTAAAAAATTGCTGGTGCTGGCACGAAGGAAATATCTGATGATTCATCCAATGAAAATTTGAATACTGGTGAAAAATCTAGGTGAGATGAAGGAAAAAGAGATCAGGGAACTTGCAAAGGAAATGCTGTCAGAAAATGAAAAAAACAGCTCACCAAATGCAGGAGTCAGGAGTTTTGAACTCATATTTTAATACCTACTAGAGACTGGTGACATATGACACCAGGACTGGGAAAAAAAGCAAGGGTGAAAAGTTTTTAAGCTGATTATTAAATAGATGTAACTCACTGACAAGTGTGCCCATGTGGGATTTTAATTACTCAGACATCTGTTTAGCAAAGTGTACTACTAAATAAGAATCAAATACAGAGATCAAATTGCGTGTGGAAGGGAGTGGAGATGCCATTCATGAGTCAGAAAGGAGAGCTATTGGCCAGGGGGAAATCAATCCTGGCTTTACATCTCACCAACAGAGAAGCAATTATTTTAGATGTGGGGCTGGTTAGCATCCTAGGTCATGAATTTAATTAAATAACCCTCAAGTGGCAGAAAACAGAACAAACCACTATGTTTAACTGTCAGTAAGACACACTGCAAATAAAGATCCTCTTTTCTTTCCCTCCCCTTACATAGATTTGCTATAGTTTTTCTTAAATTCACAACTCTTTTCCCTTTCCTAACTTAAACTTTCCTTCCCAGAAGCATCCAATCAATTCATTAAATGAATAGCTTGAATACAAGTAGGATTTATCTCCAAAATTCTCACAATGGAGTCCTTGGGAAAAATGGGAAAAAGAGGCAAAGATTAAGTCATCATTTGAGTTTCTTCTTCCGGCTCAATAAAAGGCTAATAATTCACAGAAATATCTTGCAATCAAAGAGAAGACTCTGGCCCTCTTAATGGCCAATTATTTGGCACCTTAGATAGCCAAGGCAGAGACACAAAACAAAGAAGTGTAAATGATTGGAGCAAGAACTGTAGGAAGTTTCCCTAAGTAGAGAAGAGTGGAAAGAGAGAGCATTTGGTTGCTTTGAAATGGATATTTAGAAACCAGCCTCACTCAGTACAGCCCTTAGCAGCCTTCTGCTGAGCCCCAGGCCACTGCTTGGTAGTCTCTCACCTACAGGTGACTGAGCAGAAAGGTAATTGTCTTTAAAATCTGTACTCAGGCCTCCTCCTCTTCCCCACCACTGAGATCAAAATGGTTTTCTTAAGTTTTCAAATACAGAAACCGGATGGGGAGAACCTAATCAAAAGTATACATTTACTGGAAGAGTACTTGAGCATCTCCTGAACTCCAAGGAGAAGCTGACCAAGCCTCTCACCAGGAGAGCAGGCAGAGGGCAGTTTCTGGAATCTGTGAGGCTAAAATGCACTAATTCTTCCAAAGGACTGCCATTAGTGATTCAGGTACCAACTCCAAAGGCTCAGCAATCACCGCCTTAGATGTAAACCTAAAATTTCTCAAAGATTCTGAATGGCCTGAGTAAACTCTGAAAATCATCCTATGATGTGGGTCATTTCTTTTAAACTGATCCCTTTTATTAAAAACTGTTTTAGATACTGCTAACCTCAGCTGAGTAGCTGTGGCTGTCAGAACCAGTTTAAACAGACAAAGTGGCAGCAGCTCCAACAGAATAGAATTTAAAAGGACCTATGCTTGCTTGGGCAAGCTACATTTTGAAAGTGTCTTTGCCTAGGGCAGGGGATGTGCTTTAAAGGTGGAAGACTTGTCTAGCATACTGAGTTCAGGGGGTTGGAGGGTTGTCTTAAGTTTTCTGTGACCTCCTTCATTTAGTAATTACTTCTGAATCACTATGTGAGAGCAACAATCTAATGGCTTCTGAGGATAACTTTTCATGTAACACTGGATTTTAAGCTCCCCTCCTTTTGGATGAGAAACCTGAAAATTCTGCATGAAAAGTGAAACTATGTCATTGTTAAGAAGGTTAAGCTCTCTCTGTTTAGTATTCATTAGACTCCATCAGCTAGGGACTAAGATGGCTCTGATATTAACTATAGCCAAGTGACACCTTTGGGCTGTGACTTGGAGGGTATTACTTATTGAAAAATAAATGATGCTCCCTTTCCCTTCTGAACCAAATGGATAACTGTATATATATATATATATATATATATATATTTTTTTTTTTTTAATTCTAGCTGTTTTTCTAACCTCAGATAAGAGCACAGTTTGGAAGACTCTTCGCAGCTAAGCTCCCTAAGGGAAGACAAGCAAGGGCTGCTAAGGCCACAGAGGGTCTACCCAGACTATATATGCAAAATGTCTGGAAATTTGTGCTTAGAGCTGAGAAAATCTGATGTTCTGGTTTGGCTGGATTCTAATTTGAACTAATTGCCTAGATGTTCTTAAATTTTTAAATTCAAATTAATGAGTTAAAAATTTTAAAGATTTAGCAAATTATTAAGACTCATTTTTGTTACAAGTTGAGGATTGAATTTGCTTCATAAGTATATAAAAATGGATGAATCCCTTGACCCTGAAGAGGAGATATGGATGAAGTACTAGAATACTAGAAGTACTAGAATTATAGTTCACTCTTTGTATTGCTCAAATCTACTTACTTCTTATAGTAAGTTTACTCAATGCCCAGCAATTCTAGAACTCTTTTGTTACCCAGGATACTTAGGTTAGTGGGAAAACTATAATTCCTGCAAGTGCAATGGCTCTCAAGCCTGAAGTAATTGATTTTTCATCTGCTTTTTCCATCATTCCAAAATTGCTTCAACCTCAACTGGCAGCCGTGCTGGTCTAGGCAGATTCCCTACTGGGGTGAATCAGACAAACATATCCATGGTTTCTATGACTGTTCCCAATATGGATTCTGTCTTATCTATTTAATGTTGAAACTAGGCATGCAGCATCAAGAGGTATCCCTGTGGATCATCTGTGGATCAAATGTTCTTCCTTTTTTGCATTCTGTAAGAGCCCTGCTCCCTGATGATCAGGATCAATGACCAATACTAGTACTGAGACTGAAGTAACTGGGTGAAAGCTGTACTGTAATGTACAATAGATGCCTGTGTCCACTGATGAAGTGTTACCCTTCTGGAAACCAAGACCTTTTGACCCTCAAAATGTCAGGTTTTGGGTAAAAGAAGCACAAGTCCTCCAAATGTACCACTAGGAATGACAGTAAGCATTCCACAGCTAATTCCTCCTACTCCCCCTCCTCTCCGTGTTTTTAAATCAGGTATTTAGTTTGGGACATAGCACCATATGGTCACTGATTTAGGGTGACATCTCAACCTGTAGAGATTAATCTCGAAGCTAGAATCAGAAGAATGGAAAAATATGTGATAAGGCAGTGTTGAATGGGATCTGTCAGTGGATAGGCATACTAAAGTCCTTGGGTAGAAGTACAAGCTGAGATTCTGTGGACAGTAAAGGCAAATTCATACCCAGAATATACAGCAATTCCAGTTAAGATGAATCTCTGCTTCTTTCAGGATGGAAGGAATTCACTGGAGTCAACTGACTACCAAATGCTTGTTTGGACTCTTTCAGGAATGGTGATATATTGGGAAGTCACCATTGGTCTTTGCCACTGACAGTTTAGTTATTTAGTAGCAGCAGTAGCTGGAGATCAGCCTTGGTGAATGGAAGACCATGCTGTTGGGGCCATTAAGAGATCTCATTCCTGCCATATGGCTACTCTATTCAAATGCCCATTATATAGTACTGCAGCATCTCAATGAGAGGTTGGCTGACATACATGGCTCAGTCATGAACATTATTTAGTGCCTTTTTGGTAGTAGACAGCTTCAAAGGTATTAATATGCGACAGAAAGTCCATACTAGTCTTTCGAAGCCCCTGACCCAGCTACCACTGTATTTACCACTATCCATGAGTGTGAATATATTCTTACCTTTCTTTCCACATAATGTGGATGACTGTCTACATCACCAGAAACTACTCATTTCAAGCCTTTCCTCTCATCTGTCTTTCAGGTCACTCCAAGTAAGGTTATGGTGCAGCAGTATCCATTGTTGGCTTACATTCTTGTGCGGGTCAAGTTACCTGTGAAAGAAGGTTGACCTTTCCCCTCCCCCATAAGCTGGCCAAAAGGGACACCCCACGCAGACACAGGTATGAACTGAGATTGTTGTGAGCACCACAATTGTGAATGCCAGTGTAGTAGTAGTGAAGGACAGGCAGATCTGGGACAGCAACTAGTGCAGCTTATTTTTTTTTTTTTTTTAACTTTTTATGGGTACCAGGGATCGAACTGACAACTGTCTGCTTGCAAGGCAGGTGCTTATGCCGGTAAGCTAAATCCCCAGCCCCTAGTGCAGCTTATTTGTGTCCTCTGACTCTGTTCATGCCCAGTGTCTGCCACTTCCACTTTATGATGGCTTGCCGCCAGACCCACCAGCTTTATGACCTAGTATGTTGGATAGAATCAGGTCATGATAGACTTCTCTGACTGCAGTCATTTGATGTTCCCTGGTGAGATACTTTGTCTCAATCAGAACATAGAAATCTATAAGGTCTTTTTGAATGGTGGGTATCTAATTGCTTACTACAGATGATAAGGATCTGCCTTCAGAATCCTAGGAGGCTATGTTCCAGTTCTACTGTATTCCCAGTAACTTTCCCCCTCAATTCCTCCAATTATGTAGGGTAGGCTCTGTGACATGGTAGGGCTTCTTTCTAGTATCTAGACCTGCTGCCAAGCTCTGGCACCTAATAAAAGGGGTTTTTTCCTAAAAAAGGAAAGAATATTCTGAAGTGCTGTGGAAACAACTACCAAGTACATGTCCACCTTTCTGAGCTATCCAATACCTTTTTCAGTCTGCCATGGCTGTTGTGGTATTTCCGTTTCACTTACTATGGGCTTTACTTCCTCCAAGCTTCCAAAAGCCATCATAGAACCTAAGTTATTTACCAGGGTAGTAAATCCTGTATCCTGGGAGAGTGGTCTCATTATCAAAAACTCTCCTTATCCAGTATCCCATTATCAAAACTGTTAGTCTTCTTAGTGATTGTATTGCTAGGTATGACAGTGAGCCAAGCCTTTCCTTTTATGTGCAAGAAAGTACTGAAGTTATCTGGCTAGAACTGTGTAGCTAAACAAAAGGGTCACCTGTCATGGATCTCAGCATAGATTCTGAGAAAGAAAATTGAGCACAACCCAACAGAGTTGTTTTCCAGAGATCTGCCGTTTTAGAATAATGTATGTTCCATATGGTACATTATTAGTACAATATTTCTGGTCCAATCTTTAAAATCAAGATGAAAAGCTACATGGGTTTTTCCAAAACATGTTTTATTTTATGTCCCCTAATTTGGTCTTACATTTAGTGTTTATAAATGCAAGAGTAATAGTTTAATTAGTATCTCCACTAACTTAAATTGCAGGTTTTATTGTAAAATATACTTTGCAGTGGAGGAAGTGGGAAGTGAGGAATATAAATGTTTTTCAGGCTTTGTAACAGAAGGCTGACTTTTTATTGAGGAACTTTGTCTTTTTTCTAAATAAGTCTCTTTATGTAATAGCACTGTTCGTCTAGATTTCTATTCCAAATCACATTTTTACAAAAGTAATAAGGAGAATAGTAAATACAATTTATTGAGCACTTATAAGCACAGCTGTGTAGGTTGTGTACTGTACAAGCACATCAGCACTTCTTGGGTGGCGCTGTTTACATAGTAGATGTCATGAATTTGCATATATATAAAGTATTTTCCAGCAGATGGCAGTAAAGTGTCTTGATTTAATAAACTAAGTCTATTACAGTAATTTCTGCCAGATAGAGTCTTGAGGACTGGGCACCTTCTATTTACACAGAGCATTGGATAAGGGTAGTGGTGGCATTGCTTAAATACATGCCAAGCCTGGGCTCGCTCACCCTCACTTAACCTTGGGGTCCTATTCACCTGGTGCTATTAGTAACCTGCCAAAGGCCACTGGCTCAAGGTGCTGTAGTTTCAGGATTACAATGTGGGTCTCTTTAGTTCTTGTCTGCTCTCTTCCATACTACACGATGATACTTCAGAAAACTAAGGCCTAGGACCTGGAAGAGATTGAACACCATCATATACCTTCTCTACCTAAGCCAGCCAGGCCCCCTGAACCTCTCTCAACCTAGTCGCCCATTTCTGCTGTGTACTTGCCAGGATGTAGTTTGTCCCTGGAGTCCTCTCTGAAGAAAAATCATACTGGAGCATTAGTAAAATTTTTTTTAAAAAGGGAAACTAATGACATTCATTTTAACCCTTAAATGACATTTGTATGACTTAAACTATGGAACTGTGGAAAATGAAGTGCTCAAATACAATAGTTCTCAGAGTTGGACTCCTTTATAACCAGAAATGTTTTGAATAAATGTGTACATTTTATATTTTAACATAAATTTTAGCAAGCATGCATTACCATAAATTCCATGCACACAAAAATTAGAGGCTTTTAAAAATGCATAAATATCTATATGAAAGCATCTTACAGTAATGATGTATTAATTCTTTTGATCTATCACTGTTTAAAATCCATAGATTAGTGAAATAAATATAAGCATCATATTGTTTCATTAGTTTAAGGAAAAACATGTATTTTGTCCCACAGAGAATGACTTCAGCCAAGCAACAACTCAGGCCACACCTGCCTTTACTTTAACTAACCCACTGTAAGCCATACTGAGTTGACTTTTGGATGTCTTAAGAAATTTTTGATGTGCTGTAGGGTTTGGGGTTTTTGCATGTGGATATCTGGTTGTTCCAATATATTTATTGAGGGTACAACCTTTTCTCCACTTAATTTTTGCATCTTTGCCAGAAATCAATTGTCTGTTATGTGGGTATCTATTTTGGGACTTTATACTGATACTGTGGTGATTTGTCTATCGTGATATCAATGCCATTTTGTCATGATTGGTGTAACTATGATAAGTTGTGGGATTGGGGAGGGTTGGAGCTCTAATTTTGTTCCTTTATCAAAGTTGTTTAGACTAGTCTGCGTCTTTTCTACTTTTACAGAAATATAAGAATCAAAATGTTAATCTTTATGAAAAATGATGTTGGCAGTTTGATAAAAAAATAAAATCTATAGAAAACATGTCAATCATTAATCAAAGGAACTGTTATATTGGTCCCTAAACTAATCACTGAGGAAGTGTTTTCCTAAACTCTCTGAAATAAAAAAATTAAAACTGTCCTCTATGAAGGAAGCAAACCATTTTAAAGATCAAAACAAAAAACTTCATGTATATCCTGAGTACTTTCCAATTTTTCTTCTAGCTATACAGGATAGGAAGCTATTTGGAATTATTATTTGTTAATTACAGTTTTTTTCTGGGTTGTGGGAGCTGAAGTGCTACTTTTGCTTTTATCTTTTAATTCATATATTGTCTAATGTAAATGTTTATTTATTGAGACTTACAAAAACATAAGATCTACTTTCCCTCTAAGTAATGTCACTGAAGGTGTCTAAGCTTGTGACCACTCAGTCTCTTAAAAAAAATTAACGTATTTCTAGAAAAATAAGTACATGGAAATGTAATTTTAAAAATCCAAACTCTTTTAAACAAAAGCATTCATTTGGTTCTTTTAAATTCTGAAAAAAAAAAAAAAAACACAATAGCTACAAAGCAACCCCTTCTAAACAGGGAATTTTGTAGCAAAACAAGCCTCAGTAATTCCTTAGTACCTATCTTAATAAAAGGGTTGGCTCTTTGAAAACAAAAGAAAATTCTTCATTCTCTTAAAGGTTAGTTTCTAAACTTGACATTTTGGAGATGGCCTTACCCAAGAATTGCAGGTCGGGTTTATGTTAAAAGCAGATACTCCAATCAAGTTTAGAAACAATCAAACCTTTTATTCTTTAAGGGAGAGGGTCTTCTATGAGAGAAAAGGGTTAGAAAAACAGATCAATGTCCTGTGAATGTGAGGTTGTCCTTTGTTTTTACGTGCTAAATTAAATATGCCTGCTTTGTGATCGGTGTCTTGTGTCTATAGCCCCTCCCTGGATCTGAGCAAATGTGTTTATGTTAGAAAACTCCATGAGGGCAGGAAGTGTAGTTTTTCTTCATCATCAATCACCTGGTTTAAATTCCACTTATCTTAAGGTGTGAGACCTGGGGGTACCGCACAATTGCTGGCCATAATGTGTAACTTGTCATTGGCAATCAGACTTATCATAAATCACCTCAGGTATGTGTACAGCTGTTACATGCGCCAATTCAGGTTATTTTGAAAGCATATTTTGAGTGAGGTGAGCAGATATTCACACCCTTACCACCTAACAGACTTCTGACCAGAACCCAGATTCCCCTGCCTCTTCAGGGACCAGTCACATCCCTTGCTCCCCCAGCAAGTAACCTGGCCAGGTCGCTGATTTCCCTGACCTGAAGTCTTAGAAAAGTTGTTCATGTGAGTGATAGGCCCTAGCATAGCTGAACTTTAAATAGCCTGCAGAGGACAAGGGACAGTGAGAAGAGTTTGTCTGCACAGAGCACTGGAATTGACACAATTTAAACCAGCAATGAAAGTGTCAGAGTATCAGTGAGAGACATTAGTTTTGCTCTAACACAAATGAAAAAAGATGTTTTATTTTTTAAACAAACTTTTCAATTAATAAAGTCTATTTAAAAAATTAGACCTTTCACCAGGTATGGCATGGCATGGCATGCCTGTTATCCCAGTATTCAGAGGCTGAGACAGGAGGATCACACATTGAAGCTGAACATAGGCAAGCTGGTCGCTTAGCAAGAGACACTGTCTCAAATTAAAAGATTAAAAAAAGGACTGGGAACACAGCTCAACCCAAAAGCCTTGGGTTCAACGCCCAGTACCATTTAAAAAAATAGACTTTTTGGAAAGTAAGGCTTTATGCTTCTTAAAAGTACTCTACATTAAGAAATATCTCAGAGTGAAGAAGCCAACCAGCCAGGCTTTCTGGTAAGCTGGGCAAGCCCAGGTTCCAGGAAGAGAAAAATCAGTGCCTCCAGAGACTCAGCATTATCTAGTTGATTTTGCAGGCCTGGAGCCAGCGGTCCAAGCATCTCTTGGAAGGATGACAATATGCAGTATAGCAAATATGGGGGATTACCTTCTATCTTGTCTTTGAAATCTAATATTGTTCTGTTTTGCTTTGTTCTGATTAATCGTTTTGCTTTACCCAATATTTTGTTTTGCTTTTGACTTTGCTATACCTGTTGGAACGGACAACTATTGAGAAGATAACAAGATATACTATGTTAGCTATTGTTTTCATAGTATCCTGCTTTGAAGTTCTGTACCAATTTTGCTGCTTCATTTTGATTGGTTTTGCTGTTTTGTTTTGTTGGATTTTACTATTTTTAAAATAAAAAAGAAATATCTCAGAGCACAGAATTTCTAAACTGCATATGATGAAATTATAAACACCCAGATAAACAAATATTACTTTATTGGTTTAGTCCTATTTGATAAATATGAAATGATGTAGGAAGTAAAACACCTCAAGTACAAAGTATAAGGGCAAGGAACACAGAATGAGAAATTCACCATACCAGTAATATCCAAGGAGGTTTTAATACAGATAAACTATTACCAAACTATTACCAACATAGTATCTAAGAAAAAAGTCTTAATAAAGAAACTTAAAAACTACTTTTACTTTATCAGATTGTCAAAAAGTTCATAAAACAAAGTGAACAGGAAAGAAACAGAAAGAAAATATATAAAACAGAGAAAAATAATTACATTTTCTTACATTCAATGAGTCAAAGAAACTGCTACAAATAAACAGAAAAGGCCCAAGTGAGGATTTAAAAGAATGAAATAAAAAGTCAAAAATTAAAAACTGAAATCATCGTTGGTGATGTAGCTCAGTTGTGGGGCATGACTTAGCACACACAAAGTTCTAGGTTTCATTCCCAGGCCGAAAATCAACAACAAAATGACAACACTAACAATGTAAGAAAAAATGGGACAAGATCTGGTATGATGAAGTTATGTTGTTGTTGTTATTGTTATTGTTTGATGATTAAGTTTTAAAAGACACAAAAAGCTATGCACTTGGGAAAAATGACGACAGGGACAAACCCAGACAATGCCAAAAATAAATGGATAACTTACTGTTGAGAAAAAATAGAGTCTAAGAAAAAACCTATAATCAAATCCAGACTGTACCCACTGATGGCCTGGGGGATCTCAGGGAAATCACATAACCATTATCCCTTTAAGAACCACATACACACAAACAGATTTCCCAAGGCCAGAAAATCACTAGGTAAAGAAAAATAAAAAGGATAATTCTAATGCTATTTAAAATTTTATTGACATCTTCTTTAACCTACCCCTTTATGCATTACTAGGTGAAAATACAGTTGGTGTAAAGTCTGAGCTTCATGGTATCCCTTTCAAATTATTCCTTAAATCCTTAAAATGTGACTTTTGATATTTGGGAGTATAGCCAGGCATTGGGGCACATACCAGCATTCAGGAGGCTGAGGTAGGAGGATGCTAAAAGTTGAAGGCCACCGTGGGCTATATAGAGAGTTCAGGGCCAGCGTGGGTTACATAGTGAGACACTACCTGCAGTAATCCAGAGAGAGAGAGAGAAAGGAAGGAAGGGAGAAAGAAAGAGAGAGAAAGAAAGAAAAAGAAAGAAAGAAAGACAGAAAAAGAAAAAAGAAATGGAGGGAGGGAGGGAAATTCAAGAGCATGAAAGGCCAGGAAAAGGGGACATGAGTACCCAGCTTACATGTCCTTCCCTGTTTGTTCATGATAAATCAGAAACCTTTCCGTGAGGTTGGAGAGCATGTGTGCAAGCACAGAATGCCTAATAAAGACTCTTACCCTCCACAGCCCCATGAAAGGTGAGGAACTTTTTTTTTTTTTTTTTTTTGTAGTACGAGATTGAATTCATAACTTTGTCCTTGCCAGGCAGGCACTATGCCACTGAACTATATCCCCAGTGCCTGGAACATTTTAGACAGAATGAAAAGAGAACCTTAAAATTTTGTGATAAAGAAGAGTACCTTCCTAAACTCTCAGGAAAACCTGATAGCAGATTCCATGTGCCAGATCAATGCATTTATGCACCCAGCATCAGCACCTCTTTCAAGGGCCCTATATTCCTGTCCTTTTGGAACTGTGTCTCTTCTGGCCAAAATAAAGGTTTTGAACACCATCTCTCTCTTATATCTAGTTGGAGGTTATGTCCCCCACCTTGCCTGTGGTTTTTAGTAGAAAAATGACACATGCCTTAAAACTCATCATCTGTTTAAAATCTACCATGTGAGTGAGTCTTACGCATGCAAGTAACTATGAATAGTTACTCATATATTTGAGGTAATAATTTTGAAAATATTAAATTTTGAAAATACTATCTAAAGGTACTTCGCTCTGAATAAATCTAGAATTTATTTAGTTCAAATATTTAGAAATAATATTAACAAATGTTACTTATGAATACTCTGCTGTGAGTTTGCATATAAAAACCTAACTTTGTTTAATTGGTGTGATAGATTGCCAACTAGTGGTCAATTTGTAACACCTAGCTGAATTGAATGAGCACAGTGCTGGGGGTGTAGATGGCCCACCTGAGGACTGTTGTCAACTACATAAAATGAACTGGAGAGAAAAAAATTGTGTTGTTAGTTCTCCTGTTGCTGTTGGTTTTCATGGAGGAGCTCAGAACCTTGTCGCCGAGAATGGCTGTGGTTCACTTTGGGGGAGCTCTGGTACTTACTTTGAGCATCACTTCCTGGCTCTGGCTCATGATGTATGTGATGTTCAGTCTCTGGGAGAAGCTTGTCATGCTGACCTCCTGATATGAATTCAGCTGTTCTCATAGTTGGAGGAGCTGATTTTGTCGCTGAGGATAGCTGTAGTACTTTTCAGGGGAGCTCTGGTCCTCACCTTGAGTGTCACTTCCTGACTCCAGTGCAGATCCCTCAGTCTGCTGGCACAGATCCTTCATCCTACTGGCATAGACTTTCTAGGTTCCACCACTGACTTCTAAGCCTTGCCAACACAGATCTATGAAACAGACTTGCACAAAACACTGTCATGGGCTCTAGGTCTTCAGCTTCACCCAGGCAAGACGCTGTGGGATCTCGGCCCTCAGCTAGATTCTTTGGGTCTTTAATGTGTGGATAGATTTCCTGCACTTTTGACTCGAGTGACAATTACAAAATAATTGTATAAACTGTGTGTTCTGTATTAAATTGTTTTTCTTGCAATCACTGACTATTACAGTTGGTAAGTGGTTGATTACCTACTCTCTGCAGTTGTCTTTGTGGGTATCTACGGAGAACAGCACCTAGCAAAAAAACCTACTAGAGATTTATGGAAGATTCAACACAGTAGGGCAAAATTAAGAAACTTATCTGAAATAATTCTATGAGTGAAAACTTGCATGTACCCTGAGTAACTAGACTCTAGTAAAGCTTTTTATGCCTGAGACTATCAAGGAAGAGAATATTAACTCCTAATACTGTGCTTAGGAAGTACTGTGCTTAGCAAAGGGATAGAAATATAGTGGCAAAGGAAATGGTTTCAAAGTAAAACACTTCAATCCAGTGACAACATTTTGTTAGAGATTTTATTTTTATTATATCAAGTGACTAATTTTGCTTTAAAGATCATACCCAATAGATTTTTCCAAAGCAGACCACACAGTTTATCATTACTAATCAACTTCTGCATTCTGCTTGCCTTAAAAATAATTTCTTAGTCTATGTTTTAATCAGATTCTGTCATCTATAAAAACAAAAATTTGCATTAAACTATTTAATAAATGTCTTGCAAATATTAGTATTAAATAAACCTAGGAAATTAATCATTTTTCTTGTTACCTGTACACATATTACTAGAAATTTATACTTATAAATGAAATATTTATTAAACATTTAGTATAAAAGTATTAAATACACTGATTAAAAATGCATTGTGGAATGTTTGATATGCCATAGAAATAACTTGCATGCATAAAAAGATCTGTCAAATACAATTTATCAGGTATTCTAGAATATAGAAATGTATTTCAAAACTTGGGGCTGGGTATTTAGCTCAGCAGCGTAAGTGCCTGCCTTGCAAGTGTGTGGTTGTGAGTTCGATCCCTGGTACCGATAAAAAAGAAAAAAGACAAAAATTTCAAAACTTAAGAAAGTGAAATTTTAAAATTTCCAAAAGGAGATCCAGTCAGCAGCTGCTGAGAACCAGCCATGGTGGAACCTAGGCAGCTGCAGAAGGTGGCAATTCACCTGCCCTTTGGTAAGCGCCTCCCTCTGGCGCAAGCCAGGTGGAGACCCAGTCAGCAGCTTGGCTCCTGTGAGCCTACAAGCTAGCAGGCTGGAAATCAAACATCCCAACTCCAACCCCCCACCAACCCCAGTTAGCAACTGAGGACAGAGGTCTGACCATGTCTTGAGAGGATGACTATATACAATATAGCAAATATGGGGGGCTTCCTTCCATCTTCTGTTTGAAGGCAAAGGTTGTTTTCACTGTTTTGTTATGTTTGTTTTGCTCTATTCAATACTCTGTTTCAATTGGTTTTATAATGTTCTGTTTTTGGTTTGATTTTGTTATACCTAATTGATTGGACAACTATTGTGAAGATAACGAGATATACTATGATACCTATTACTAACATCCCAGTATCCTACTGTGAAGTTCTGTACCAATTTCACTGCATTGTCTCGATTGGCTTTGTTCTGTCTTGTTCTGTTGTATTTTTTAGTACTTTCAAAAAAAAAAAAAAAAAAAAATTCCAAAAGCCTCAAAATAGGTCTCTCCTCTAGATAAAACCTAGTATGGGGGACCTACTTTGTCCTTTGTTAGCTATTTTTATCTATGCTTAGTTGCTTGACTTGAAAACCCATGATTTGTATTATACTAATTTTGTTCACAATTTATGAAGTTGGGCATAACAAAGCTGTATTTTCTCAATAGTATGCTTAATATACAGTCATGGTTAAGAACATACATGTGTACATAAAAAGCTACTTGTAAGACTAGTCCTCAAAAGGCCTGCCACCCTTTAAAAGATTGTCTTTCAAGAGGGAGTTTCTTCAAAGTATTTTTCTACTGATGAATTCACGACTATATTTCCCTCAGTCTGAATTAGATTTTAAAGCTTTCCTCTCCTTTCTAGGCCTTAAAAATGTGTCAGACACAAAGTAGGTATAGTTTACTTAAATACAACAGGTAGATTTTTTTCTTAAAAAAAATCTTTTAAAGCTGTGTTAAGTACCTGTGATTGAGACTAAACATATGGTGTGTTTGAGAAATTGAATTTTATATAGTTAATTAAAATTTTAAAACCTAACCAAATTCAGTTACTGAAAAACATTTGATGTGTTTGAAATAACTTACAAGTCTACTTTTTCAGCTATAAATTTTATGTAATTTAAATACAGGTCACATACATCCAGTGAAATTTAGCATCCAAATTAAGATATGCTGGAATCAATATCATAAAAATGCAAATTAATGTATTAATAAATTTCACATTGATTACAAGTTGAAATTATATTTGGATATATTGGATTTTAAGTCATTAAAATTTATTTTTCATTTTACTTTTTAAAGCATGCCTACGAGACAATGTGAAACCACATGACTCATGTATTTCCATTTGACATTGTTGCTTTAAAATAATGGTCCCCAATTAATCAGTTAGGATCTACCAATAATTATTGAGTCTTTACCTGCTTCATTTCCAAGCTAACTGCCAATGCCACACCTCTTCCCCCTGCAACCTCAGAGACTTTATGGTCTGTAGGATTCCTACAAGGAATGTGCCTGGCACTTACCTCCCTGAGCCTCATGGGCAGAATATACACTTAGCACTACCTAACTTCCCATAAGTACATATTAACATATGTATTTCAGAATGCAGATGATAAGTAATACGTCAGATAGTCCATTAATTGTCAGACAGCCCCATTTCAACTAGAGTCTACCTGATGCTAAGAAATTCAAAAGTAGCCTCATGAGGAAAACGTGGAATCCTCCCTAGTAACAGTGCTCTATCTTACTAGGGGCAATTTAAATCTAACCAGAATAATCTTATTTAATCTTTTATGTTTGCAAATGTTATCATCAAAACAAATAATGAAAAATAATAACTGGCCAAGTTACTACATAGCTTCTCCAGCATTAGTATAAAATGAAGTTTTACTTACCTAATAATGCTTAAATAGAAAAAGAAAGATGAGACTGTGGGTCACAAAAGAGGACAATAAGAACTTATTTTTGCAAATGGGAAAATGATGAAAGAGGGAAGGAAATAAAAAATGAATTAAAATGCATAATGTACACGTACCAATTCCCCATAATAAATGTAATCCCAGCGTACTGAACACATTACACAATGTTTAAAACACATACTAATAAAAATTAAAAATAAAAATTTATTGGAGAGAATTCTTCCTATGAATAAACCCTTTGCCTAAGCATATTTCATTTAATTATAAACTTCATGAAACAGGTATTACAGGCACATAACTTGTAACTTAAAGGATTAAACACTACGTCAAAGACAATAACATTAATAGTTGAGTCTAAGATGGGTCTTTTGACATTTAAACCTAAGCTTTTAGCCATAGTCCTCATCAAAGAACCAAATGAACATCCAAGAACAAGAAACTCTTTCCCTCTGGCTTTCAGACACTGCTATCCTAACTTATCTCTGACAGCCCTTCAAGAATGTAAATGAATTTAGCTTATGGAGACCCATGCAGATTCATCTTATTATTATGTTACCAGAAATGTACTGAATGAGACTGTGTGCAGGTCTTCTTCAAATTAGATGGTTCCAAAAGCTGCTTCCTGTCCCCAGGGAGGGCAGAGAACCAGAAGACAAAGGCATTCGGAAACACCTTAGGGGTATGGAGTGGGTCAGGCCTGGAACACAAATCTAAGGCCTAGTCCAGATTCCTCCCCTCTTATACTTTCGTTATAAAATTTTAAATGATTACTCAAATTAGAAGCAATATAAAATAAGTACTTAAGATAAAAACAGGTAAGAATACGTATCCACTAATCATCTGTCTTACAAAACGAAGTTCTAATGTAGCTGTTGCCAAGTGATTAAGAAACACATAACTGCATAAATAAATGCATCTAAAATTATATCTGCCTATTATAGAAACTACTGCTTTTAAAAAATCAGCCAACCAAAATTCCTCATAAGTATTAATCAGTTTTTAAAATGAAACCCCAAGTCACAGAGTGCAAGTAGTTAAAATTTCTAAATGGTATTTTACAAAGCACCGTATTAAATTCTGTGAAAAAGTTTTTAATTCATCCTGCTGCAGTTAAAATATGCTGAAAAAAAGTAAAAAGAAAATGTTTACTCAAGAATGTATCAAAAATGTACTGTATTCCAGTCTATTAAGTTGTTCCATGTTGAGGCCCTTTAACTTTCCTCATTTAAGGTTCCCCTCCACCCATTTTCTTTTGTTTTTTTAGAAAATTAAGACAGAGGGGCTGGGGATTTAGCTCAGCGGCATGAGAACCTGCCTTGCAAGCAGGCGATTGTGAGTTCCATCCCAGGTACCAATAAAAAAAAAAAAAAGAAAGAAAATTAAGGTGGAAGTTATTTTTCAACCTTTATAAAACATTGTTCTTCCTGAATAGGTTCTTCCTGAATATTCCATACATAAAATTTTATTTTATTGATAAAAATTTTCATAATTCTTTTACTTATGGTTTCACATATTACATAACATGTGATCTATATTTGTATATTTTATACATAATAGTTATATATGTTTTGATGTATCAATATTTATATTAATATTTTCAAAACTGGATTAGTGGAACTTTTGGCCAAGATATTCTCATAAACCTACCAAAGTACTTAACTAGAATTTATTGGCTGAATATATGTAAACAGAAACCACTTTTATTTTGCCTTTTTGACACAAGTTTCACATGGAATTCAGATTGAACTCATTTTGTAGCCCAGGCTGGCCTCAAACTTGCAGTGATCCTCCTGCCTCAGCCTCTCAAGTGCTGAGATACAGGCATGTGTCACCACACTGGGCCAGAAACTTTTATTTTTTTATTTTGATTTGCTTTCTTTTGTTTTTGGTACCGGAGATCAAACTCATGACCTTGCGTTTGCCAGGCAGGCACTTTGCCACTGAAGTATATCCCCAGCTCCCAAACTTTTTTTATTTTTTTGGTACTGGAGATTGAACTGATGACCTCATGCTTCCAGGTGGGCATTTATGCCACTGAGCTAAAGCTCCATCCCCTCAAACTGTTTTATTCTTAAAATTAGTTTTATGCTTTTAAAATCAGTGTCTGTGCCTTTAAAACTCTTATGTCTTAAAAACCTCTGATATAGAAGTATAAACAAAGTTGTAATTCATATGTAACATATAAATTTTAGCTGGAACTTATAAGTAAATATGCCTTTTATTCTGCATACTTTATAAAGTGCTTTTCAAGATGCAGTACTTTGTATTTTAATTTTCTCTTGATAAATTTGTTTTTGGCGGTGCTTAATAGTATAGTTCTCTAGGTTTACAAGGACTAAGTCTTAGGTTTGGCTTAATATTAATGTTTTGAAAACTAGTGATCTGAGCTGGGAGTTTAGCTCAGTGGTAGAGCACTGCAAAAAAGTAACAGCTTCCTTTTGCCAGATGTGATGACACATGCCTTTAATCCCAGCACTCAAGAGGCTGAGGCAGGAGGATCACTGTGAGTATGAGGCCAACCTGGGCTACACAGTGAGTGCAAGGCCAGTCTACACTACAAAAAGCCTGTCTCAAAAAAAAAAAATGCTTCTTGCTGTATTACTCAAAGATTATCTGCATATCATAAAAAACACTACATAAAGTTTTACATTTAGATAGTCACTTTCATTATCCAACACCTCTTTTCTACTTATAATACTGTCATTAATGTGAATATGAACTTATGCAGGAACTATGAAAAACTAGAACATATAGTGTATCAGCCTCTTCTAAGTTAAAAGTTGTGATTTTGAGCTCTGTATTTTAGTAAAAGCATATATTAGTGCAAAACTCTGAACTATTTTAGTAAAACATACATTAGTACAAAAATGTCTTAAATAATATGTATTCAAGATTGATTTGAAAATGTGTGTTTACCAGAACATAATTTAATTTACAAGGAAAAGAGATCAAGCGAGAAGTAAAACTACACACTGGACTCACAGAGTACAGTATTTCAAAGTTTACATTATGATGTAGTGTATATGAAATCTATATTTGAAAACTCAAAAAGTATATTATACTATTGAACTTTTCAGATTGCATTTTCCTAACCTTACTACTCTCTGGGTATCAGTTGTTAATACTTCTGATGTATTCTTGAAGGACAGAACCAGTTTCTGTTTGTACCTGTTGAACTTTTCTAAGTCCACCAACTTGTTAGAAAGTCATTGTGCTGGCCTGAGGATATAACTCAATGGCATAGCATCTACCTAGCAAGCACAAGGTCCTGAGTTTGATTCCCAGAACAACAACAACAAAAAAAACTGATGTACTTTGTTACCATATGGCAAGTGAAAAGTGAACCAATAAAAATGTCAGATTTTCTTTTCCAAGTTAGATTATGGCTATTTAAAAGCAGTAATTTGAGAAAATACAAACATTTATGCCTGAAAAGCCCATAACATAATAAGTCTAAATCTGCTGATGACTGAAGATGAAATACATTCTTTGTAGAAGAATATTAACTTTTTATGTTATGGAGCTGGACCAAAGGTAGTGAACAAAAGCAAAGCAAAGGAGATCCATTTAAAATGTAAAGTACAAAATTTACACCCACTGGAGCCTGTTCACACACTACAAAATTAAGGGCAAGCTCCTTAATATAGGGTCCTTTGCACCAGCTCCTAAATACCCCTCCAGGCTTCTTCCATCAAGCTCCATCCTAAATTTCATTTTACTATCATCAAAGTATGTGTGTTGTGCCACTTCTTGCCTCTGCCCATGCTATCTCCTATCCGTAGGATGCCTTTGCATAGGCCATAACCTTTCTCTTTTAACAAGCTAATGCCTACTCTATGTTCAGCTGGGCTTGAGTGTTACCTCCTTAAGAATGCTTTAAGAAAATAGAAAATTCTTCAAATAATCTTGAAGGCATATTAAACAGTATATAATGTGCATTATGATCTTTATTCAACAATGACTGACTTCCACAAAACCCACTGCCTTTTACTTATTTTGAATTCGTTAAGATTTTCATTTTCATAGCAAATTCATTAAAACTAGTATTACTCACTAAACTACAAAATGAAACTTTCAAAAGTAATATCAACTATACATTTTCAAGAGCCAGTGTGTCTGTCTCTCGGTCATCCACTTGTCCCCCACGCCTTATCCATCTTAGTGAAGAAAAGGATTTTCTCTTTGCAATAGTCTAGACATTTCCTGCATTGTTTTAGTTAGTTCATTTGTCAAGGAGGCATACTATTATGTCCCCTACACACCATGTATCCAAGAGAACAAAAAATGTTTCATTATTTTCTTCAGAACAGGCAGACAGAATGTGTGTTATACACAGAATTTACACTAGTGTAAAGAGTTGAACTGCATTTTTTACATTCTTTAATTTCTGAAACAATGTTTGAGAATTAATGTATCAAGAAATAGGCTATAGAAGATAATTTTAAAAATGTTTTACTGATAGCAAATAAGCTGAATTTATGACTACTTTCTTATGGATAGGGAAATAAATTATAATTAATAATCAGCTATATTATTCATCAAGGAAAAAATTAAGATTTTCTTTACACATCTGAGTTTAAGATGTTTTTATGATTTCATTACTCTACTTATCATAAATTCACTTATTTTAAATACACAATCCAATAATCTTATAAATTTATAGATTATGCAACCATCCCAACAATTAATTTTAGAACATTTTCTCATCCCCAAAAGAACCTCATGCCCATTTTTAGTCACACTCTATTCCTCCTACCCACCTAACCCCATCACCTCCAGGATATTACTAATCTACTTTCATGAATTTGGTTTTCTGGACAATTCATATAAATTATATCATACAATATGCAACTTTGTGCTTAGAATCTTTCACAGAGTACAAGATGAATTCCACATATGCTGTAGCATGTGTTGACATTTTTGTTTCTTTTCATGGTGACATAAAATTTCCCTGGTGGTGGTTTTTATAGCACAAAAGTTTTTAATCCTGAAGAAACCTAGTAACAATTTTTTCTATCATTTATGCTTTAGGTGTAATTCTAAGAAACCATTGCCTAATCTAAGATCAAAGAGATGTACTTCTTTGTCTTATGACAAAGTTTATAGTGTCAATTCTTTAGATCTGTGATCCATTTTGAGTTAATTCTGGTGTACGGTCTGAGACGAGTCCAAATAAATACTTTTAAATGAGGATTTAACAGTTGCCACAGTACCATTTGTGGAAAAGTTTATCCTTTCTACATTAAATTTCCTTGGCACCTGTGTAATCAATTGACTATTTAAGATTCTCAGTTCAATTCCATTATATGTATCCTTTTCTGTACCACACTATTTTGTGGCATATAGTACTACATTATTTTGAGTACTTTGGCTTTGTGTTACCCTGCCTCTGTGGTAGTGGGGATTGAACCTAAGACTTCACACATATTAAATAAGCCCTCACTGAGCAACACCCCAGCCCTATTATGTTTTGAAATTGGGCAGTATAACCCCTTCCTTTTTTTCACTGTCTTGCTAGTTTAGGTCTTTTGCATTTCCAAATAAATTTTGGGGATCAGCTTCTCAATTTCCGAAAGAAAAAAAGGACAGCTGGGACTTCAATAGTGATTTCATTGAATGTATGGATCAATTTGGACTTCAGTGGTACCTTAGTTCTTGTCATTAATTGGTTTCAGGTGGCATGACAAGTACCATAAGCACTGAACAAATTATTTGGCTAGAAAGGGTAGTGAGTCACAAGGCAATTGACACTGACAAATACTAGCTTGAACTTCTAGTACCAAACAAGAGGCGAGATTTTCCTACCAAAATATGTCCAGCACCATATTCAATAAGTTTCAAAGTGGCTGTGTACCAAGGCATGACAATACTGCCATATTAACAATACTGAATCTTCTAATCCATGAACCTCTCTCCATTTATTTAGCAGTCTTTTGTAGTTTTCTGTGGATAAGTATGATACTTATTAAATAATTACAAAGTATTTTAATCTTTTTGATGTTACTGTATTTTTTTGATTTACTTTTTATGGAAAAAAGGTAAAACAAAATTTCACAACAAGGAATAACAAGAATTATTAAAGCTACTATATTTTTTGAGGTATAGATTTTCTATATTATCCAAGCTCACCTTGAACTTCTGGCCTCAAATGATTCTCATGCCTCAGCCACCTGATAGCTTAGGCCTTCAGATGTGTACCATGTTAACTGGTTTATCTTCTTAATTTCATATTTGAAGGCATTACTAATACATGAGAATATGGTTGACTCCTTGTATGTTGATCTTGTATCCTGTTACTTTGTTGGTTACAGTTTGTGTGTATGTGTGTTCATTAGGACTTTCTATAATCTGTATATATGATAAACCTCATAAATTCTTATAAGATAAATAAATGACTCTGATGCTGGAAAAGTAAAAGAGGAGTAAAAGAAGGGGGAAGAAACCAGGCTTATAGCTCAGCAACATAAGTGCCTGCCTGATAAGTGCAAGGTCCTGAGTTTGATTCCCAGTACAAAAAAATAGGACACTGAAGTGTTATGTACATGTACTAATCCCTACAGTGAATGTAATCATTATGTACTGCAAACAGGTACTAATAGAAGTTTCTTTTTTTAAAGATAATGTTGTATGTTAGGTTTAAGATTTGTTAGCTTTTGGAAGACATGCTTTATATTTGATTATTTATGGCTATGAGAAAAATGAAAAAGTTCTTAGAACTTCACACTATTGTTTAAAAATTGTATGGGTCAACCAGCCCTTTTATTGACCTAACTTATCAAATCAAGTTGTATCTAACTTTAATGAAAAAGAGTATCAATTTTGCTAATTATTACTGTATTTAGTAACTAATATTTATCCTTAGACACAGTGTATGATGATGTCAGAGAAGTCTCGATGGCAGACTCAGGATTTGATTTTCCTGTGAACCAGCATAGCATCTTCAGTTTTAAATTTGTTCATTTTTCTATTATTTCTTAAAATTATCTTTATCCAGTTTGATGAGGACTACTGTAAAAGTCACACTAAGTAATACACTAAGTACCATATTTTTTACTTAACAACTCATATAAGGATAACAATTAACAAAACAAATATTAATAAAGTGTAAATCAAACCCTTAATACCACTTCAGTTGTTCTTCCAGGAAATGAGAGAAATAACAAAAATTACTCATAGTTCATCACTCTTAAAAGATGATCTTTATTAAACTGCTAAAAATTCAAAATTTCTACAAGGTAAATTTTGTTCTGAAAGCATTCTGGCCCAAAGAGTTATCATGATTAAAATAAATAGGAAATATAAGAGTGATCTTCATAACCTTTGATAGACAAAACCTTCTTAGATGTGACACTAGAAGTACATGTAGCAAAAATAAACAAATTGAGGGGCTGGGGATTTAGCTCAGCGGCATAAGCATCTGCCTTGCAAGTGTGCGGTCATGAGTTCGATCCCCAGTACCAAGAAAAAAAGAAAAAAAGAAAAAAAATAATAATAAGATAAAATTTAAGGGGCTGGGGATTTAGCTCAGCAGCATAAGCACCTGCCTTGCAAGCAGGCAGTCGTGAGTTCGATCCCCGGTACCGATATAAAAAAAAAAAAAATAAACAAACTGAATTTCATTAAAATGTAAAACTTGTGCGGCAAATAATACCATTAATAAAGTATGAAGACAATACACAGAATGGGAGAAAATACGTTATACAGCTAATAAGAACCTGTATCTAGAATTTATAAAGAACTATTAAAACTTAACAATAAAAAGATAATACAACTTTAAAATGGGCAAAGTATCTGAATAGATATTTCTCTAAAGAAAACACATGAATGATTAGTAAGTGTATCAAAAGATTTTTCATCATTAGCTAAATGCAATCCCAAACCACAATGAGCTATCAGTTCACATGCACTTAGGATGATGATAATAAAAAATAAAGATACTAATGAGTTAGCAAGGACTGCAAAAACTAGAGCCCTCTACTTTCTTAGTAGGAATATAAAGTCGTATAGTTACACTGGAAAACAGTTTGACATTTCCTCAAAATGTTCTAAGATTAGTGTGTAGTGATGGCTTTATAATTCTGTAAGGACACTAAAAACCACTGAAATGTGTATCTTAAATGGGTAGATTGTATGGGAAATGAATTATATCTAAATAAAGCTGCAAAAAAGTGAAACCAGAACTACCATGACCATAAGGAACCTTCTACATTGTTGATAGGAATGTAAACTAGTACAACCACTATGGCAATGAGTATGGAGAGTCTTCAAAAAAATGAAACTAGAAGTTCTCTTTGATCCAACTATTCACTTTCTAGGTATCTTCCTAAAAGGGTTAAAGACATCATATTATAGTCATCTATACATACCCATTTTATAGCAGCACAACTTATAATAGCTAAATCTTGGAAGCAGCCTATACATCCATCAACAGATGAATGGATAAAGAAAATGTGGTATTTATTCACAGTGGAATACTACTCTGCCATGAAGGAAGATAAATTTCAGACAGTATGTTAAATAAATCAGACACATCAGCTTAAATATAACATTGTTTTCCTTAAATGAGAAACTCAAAGTATAAATAAATCAGAGACCAAAATAAAAGATAATAGGAACCAGAGAAAACTTTTGCAAAAGGAAGGAGACCAAGAGATGGAGGAAGGGGTAAGGGAAAGGAGAGAAAGGAAATGTAAAAAAGAATTAAGATGTGTTATACACATGTATCAATTCCTCATGATTATGAGCTGCAAACGTACTAATAAAAAATTTTGTTTCTGTTTTTATTAAGGTATTAACATAAGAGCAGGGAAACAAAAGGCTATATGATAACATGGGAGAAACTGTAGGAGGATGCTTACTGGTTCTCCTCATTGGGATTAATTAGAGAATGCTTATCAGAAGCTGGCATGCTTTGGGGACAAAATGAACTTCTACATGGCCTTATAATTTGAAATCTGCCCCCACAGTAACAAATGAGAAATACCACTATACATTTCTTTGTGTTCTTGCATACACTTTTCCCTACTGGGATACTGTTAAGTCAAACAGACTTGAATTGACTTTATTTTAAAGCCATTAAAAAATTTCGTTTTTAAATGTCTAAGACAAGGCCTTAACATTGTAATCAGGCTGACCTTGACCTTGCAACAATCCTCCTGCCGTGGCTAAAATAACAGCTAACAACTGATACAGTCTAAGATACCTTGTGGAAGAAAAAAGAATGATCAACTCCCTACAATAAGAAAACATTTGAATGGATTTAAATTTTTGGAAATACTGCCAACAGACTATAACTAATAAAGATTCTACTTCCTAATATAATACCCAATGTATTTCCTGAAAGTGAATACTATACCAAATATTAGTATAACAAACTTTAGTATTAGTTAACCTATTAAAGATAAGCTAATACACAGCAAAAGTTACTTTAAGCAGTGATGTTTTCAAATTCATTTTACACTAGTGATACTTGTACTATATAACATAATTCTTTAAAAATCAAATTACATAAACTTAGTGGTATATAAAAATTAGTGTTACCTGAGCATTATTTACAATGGTTTCTTGAGTATAATTACTATTGACTCCACTATTAATCATTCGTGCTTTAGCTCAGGTATTATTAATTTCAAAACAAAGTAAAAGTTGTTAAATGCAGTAATCTTAAAGGTTAGGTAAACACTAATGATAATCTCTGTTATTCATTATAGTTACTATCATATTCTAGTCAGTTTCTGCCTGCAAAAGTGGCCAAGAGCCACTGGTTCACTGGAGATAAGAGGAAGGGGATGAAAAGTGAAGAGGACTGGGAAGGAAGGCGTAGGAAGTTAGGAGGGAGGAGAGAAGGAGAAAAGACAATAATGATAATGGGTTAAAGAAATATGAGATCAAAAGATGACATACAAAAGGCTAAAGTATATGTGTGAAACATACATATAACTGGACAAACTAGGACAGGAAATGGAGCTGTGTTTTCTCACCAGAAGGTCAAAAAATCAAAACCCAGAAAAAAACCTTGGAGAACACATTGTCCCATCTTCTTCTCTACCAAGCACTACCACCACTGTCCCGTTGCCTTAACCTTAGAGACATGTGAGGGAAGCCCTAAATCTATTATACTCACTGCACTGACAAAGCCTTTTTCTTTCTAATACTGGTGATTAAGTCCAAGGGTGCTTACTGTCAAGCTATATCCCCACTGCTTCTTAGTTTTTATTTTGAGGCCAAAGTCTTCCTAAATTGCCCATACAGGACTTGAACTTATCATCTTTCTGCCTCAGCCTCTCAGGTAGGTAGGATTACAGACATGTGCCTAGAAAAAATTTTATATAAACTGAAAGAGTGTTAGTCTTGGAAATCAACTTCTCTCAGTGAATTGTGGAGAAATGACATGCAAACACAACCATACAAACATAAACTGACTTTTTCTTTTCATCTTTTCAAGGCAGGGTTTCACTATGCAATTCAGACTGGCCTTGCAACTCACAGGGATCCTCTTGCATGCACCATCACACCCAAAGTAAACAGAATTTTGTAAAATTTACAAGTTAAATAAAAATGTTCCTAAACTGAGGAAATTTCCTGCTTCATTATATCATGTAAAGTTATGTTTCAATAAATGTGTTTTCCTGTTTGTTAACTTATTGATTTAACTAAAACTTAAGTGCAATTTAACTTTCTGGTGTTGATTTTATTTTTATTTTTTCTGTGAACTTCCCACAGTTCAAGTCAATTTTGCATGGTGCTTTCAAAAAGTTACACGCTTTCCTAATAGAAAGCATGCTGAGAAACATTTTTGCATTCTGTGAAGTTATAAGATTATTAAACAAGTCATCCTACTTTATATTAATATTTGATGTTATTTTGTTAATATTTTTCATAAAACTTGGCTTTTAAAAATATGCGTAATTTAATGCCAGGCATGGTGGCACAAACCTGTATTCCAGGACGTGGGAGGCTAAGGCAGCAGGATTGCTGTGAGTTTCAGCCCTCCTGGGCTACATAAGATGGTCAAGTCCAGCCTGTACCACACAGTGAGACCTTGCCTCAAAAATAAAAATAAAATAGGTACAATTTTAAACTGATCAGCAGTAGATTTTATGGACAACAATTAAAGGTATAAACACAAGACATATAATTGAAAGATCAGTCAGCTGTAGAGTCAGGAGAGGTAAATTATATAGCTTCAGAAATATTCTCCAACTGTTTTACATTATACTTAGAAAAGCACTTAACTCATTTTTTACATGTAAAATGAAGAAACAATCTCAACAAGTTCTAACTAAAATATTCTATTATTGAGTTCCTATTCCGTATGACAAAAGAATATTGAACTCAATAATCAAACACTCATTTTACAAACAACTTTATACCTAAAGAATTTTCTTTAAAATATATTATAGTTTTTAGAGTTAAGGATAAGTGATTCTAATTTCTCTTGACAAATTTGTTTCTTGACTCACAGAAGTAATACAGTCCATGTAATTTAATTATTTTACATTACACATTTTTAAAATGTGTCAAAGTCTAACAGATCTTCATAGAACTATCCTTACATTGACTTGCAGATCTTCAGAATGTTCTGTGGCATATACAAAGAAAGCAGAACAAGCAAAGTATTTGTGACGGTAACAGCCCATGCATGTTGGAAGTGTATCGCCCAACCTAAGACCCAAGCAGCAGCAGCCTTAAAATGATCCTCTGGTTCTTCTGACAGGCAGACTGACAGCTGGGGTACACCCTGCAGCGGTGATCAAAAGAGCAAGCGTTATAAATCTAGAGCAGGATTAAAGAGTCTTCTGTGTCTCTCAAACATTAGAAGAAACCATTTTGGCCTTGATCCTTTTTTTCCTAAATGGTTCAATAAATGAGCACATCACAGAGGCTGTCATTTCTTAAGTCAATAAAATGCCTAGAACTAAATTACCTTAATTATCTGTAACAATCTGACTTAACTAAGAAACTCTACTAGCTTTTACCCCCCAGATAGAGGGACATTTAACCAAATGACAGATGGCATGGACTAGGCAGAACCATATTCCACTGTGACAAACATAAAATATTTAGGATCTTAAAATGCTTCATTTCCTTTGTTAAAAGTTAACTTAGAATTTTTTAAATTTAGAATCTTTAAAAGGATTATCTTTCATAAAGTACAATAAATCTGAGAACAAAACGACAAATATAGACTCAAACAATCCTAAGTATATTTTAGATGAAATACATTCAAACAATCTTAACTACATTGTGAATGGAATATATTCACTATTATCATTCTTGAAATAGTGTGTATGTTTCCATTAATTTTGGTTGAATTTTAAGTGATAGTTCTCATTTTAGTGTGATCAAATGTCAAAGCAGAAATGCTTAATAACATGTATTTACATTTTACATCTTAGGCTTCAATTTTATCTAAACAATAAAAACACAATTAAAAAAGGCCACAAATACACCAGTTTATATAACCAAGGAAGAATCAATAACCCAAATCAAAGTCTGATTCCAGATTCTGTAGTCATAATTTTCTAATTTAGGACTATAGTAATTACCTCAAACCTTGCATCACAAAAACCAGTATCACATGGTCATATATATATACTTTTTACCTCTACATTTTAATTTGGTATTGAGATGAATATCCTTAAAAAGCCTGTCCATGCTCCTTTCCTAAACTAAAAGGTATTATCTGCCATATAAAAGGTCATTATCTGTCTTCAGATTGAGGTTAACTTCTTAGAAAGCTCGTACTTCTAGGATATTAAAGAACTGAAGAAACAGTAAGTAAAGCAAGACAGGCCTCCACCTTAACCCCAAAGCTCTGTCTTCCTGGCTTCAGTTTGTTATAATTAGCAAATGAGATAAGCAACATGAATATACTTCAAAAATTACAGTGTCACTTAAATGTAGGTATTATTATTAATCTTGTACTAACACATAGTGAAAGGAGAGAATGTTACCTATCTATCCTCTACTGTGTGGTTTGCCTCAGACTATTGCTGTCACTTTGATCTCCAACTAACTGAAAAACAAACCAGGTGGAAGAGGCCAGCAGCATCCCCAGACCCAAAAAGGAGAGAACCTCCTGGTTAATGTGAGGAGGACACCAGCAACTGCTCCTCCTGTCATCGTTACTAGGTAGTACCTTTCTGACTCGATACAAAAAAATTAGGATCAAAAACTCCAGTAATGGGGGCTGGGGATTTAGCTCAGTGGCTTATAAGTGCCTGCCTGGCAAGCTTGAGGTCATGAGTTCGATCCCTGGTACCGGAAAAAAAAAAAATTCCAGTAATGAGCTTGGAAGATAGTTCAGTAGTGTATAACCTGCCTGACAAGTGTGAGGTCATAAGTTTGATTCTCAGTACTAAAAAAAAAAAAGAAGAACATTCCAGTAACATCCTTGCAGTGACCCTTCCAAAAGCACTATTACTGCTCCAGTTCACAGCCTATGGTTAATAGAACAAAAGAAAAGAAACAGCATAAAAGAGCAAGTAGTTTAAAATTTAAAGCAGGATAAAAGCGAGTGAAGCAAAGATTCATTGTGGAATTGGTAGAAAATAAAGATGTAAGGCTCTTTTTTCTCCCAAGGATTAGCAAGGGATAAAAAAAAAAATCTGTTTAACATATAGCAGCAGGTTTTCCATGCTGATAAGCCACACCCGAGAGGGTCACCACATACATACTACAAGCACATAAAGCCTTTGACCCATTCTGCAGATCAGGATGTATGCATCAGTGCATACTCTGTGAGCATCTAATTTGCATCATAGCTTCACTAATGATGAGTTTATATAAAGTCACAAATTGAGGTAAGACAAAATTTGTAGGAAACAAAAAACTCTTATCTGATGTGTGTTCTGCTTACCTACGTCTAAGAATACAAATTAGTCTATGAAACCTGACTGGAAAAAAAAGCAGATAAAATGATATCTTAGCCATTGCCATCTTTTACCCAAATGCCAGGAAAAGGAGGACTGTGCAGACCTCTGAGCATGGTGAAAACGACTACTGGAAAAGTCATTTAAATATCTGTTTTTAATCAAACTCTGCTTTATATGCTTATAAATATGCACAATTAATTCTTCAAGATGCAAACTTATTTGAATATAGTAATACTCAAAATGGTAGATGTTTTGTTAATAAACACTGAGTAAAACTTTAAATTTCCCATAATCTAAATCTTTCTTCAAGAATTCTTTTGAGAAATTTTACTAATAAGCTCTAGAATAAGCATTGAGACAACTGAAAATCCTTTCAGGTAATTCTTTTGCTCCATCTAGTTATATTTTATAATTTGTTGGAGAGGATCATCAACTTGTGGTTCTCTCTTAGAACATATTTCTGCAATAACTAGTAGATGAAGCAATAACACACCTTGGAAATAACCATTTCTATGGCCAGGTTCTCGGAACGAGTGGCCGTGTAACCCAGCATTGTGATGCCAGGTAGCACTGTGTTCCCTTTACACAACCCAATGCAGTCAGTCCCTGTGACCATCCCTCCTCCTGTGTCAACAATCAGCTGTGGAAACTGAGAGACAAGAAGAGCTAACTAATCAGAACAGAAAGCAAAAGATGATCTTTCATGCAGCCATATTTTATTTAAAACCTAAAAACAACTGGTAAAATTGAAATATCATTTAGGGAAATTGTTATATTTATTAAAAAGAAATATAAAAACAATATTCTGCCATTTCAAATACACAAATATATTCACTGTGAGAGGCTTCAGTCAGTCTGTGGTTCAATTATTCATGCATCAGTGGCACAACTTTTACCCCTCATATAATGGATGTCAAAATTCCTCACCTAGACACTAAGCCTAGGGCTAGTTCATAACTGGCTAAACACTGAAAACCTCAGTAACAATGTGTGAATATGAAGCAGATTAATCACTGAATGCCAAAAGACAATGGTCAGACTGGAAACGCTAACCTTATTATCCCTCTTTGGCTAGCAATGATTACTAGCTGAATGCACTGCCACTTGGAAAAACCTCAACCAAATAAAGATGTTAGATTAAAAAAAAAAAAAAAGAGGACCTTAACATATAATGAAATGAAATTGATTAGTCTAAGTATGTAGTGAAAAAAGACAGTGTCAGAATCAACACAGGCTTGCTTTGTCTGTCTCCTCTAAGAACTCAGAGCAGGAAATTGCTGTGTAAGACCAGTTACTAGAATGGCCATCCTAGGCCAGGGATTTTTGTATCTGTTTCAACCTGGAGGTGAAATATTCTTACGACTCCCGGCTGACATAAAATGATAAGGATTGCAGAGATCCAAAGGCCCCACAATCTATCTAGACATGAAACGGGGAAATGAATGGAAACTGATTTTTAACACAGACTCCATTAATATAACCCAGTGGTTCTCAACGTCAGGTGGGGGTGGATTTTTGTCCACTAGGGAACATCTGCAATGTATGGAGACAGTTTTGATTGACACCTCTTGGGGGAGGGCTGCTACAGCATCCAGTGAGCAGGGCTGCTGCAAAAGGACATTCTACAATGTATAAAACAGCTCCCCACACAATTACCTAATCCATAATGTTGTTACTACTGAGGGTGAGAAAGCCCTGACCTAACCAGATTGTGTAGCCAAATCTCTGCAGCCCCAAAACAAACTGATGTTTTGTTTCCAAAGTAAAACAACATATTATTGCATCTTGAGGCTTTTTAAAAACCTTTTCACTTTGGGTGTATGTTTTGCAATCTCTCTAAAGTGCTACCATTTTTCTTCATGTTTTCATTTTTGTCCTTCAGAAAGGTAAGTACAACTAGAAAAATCTTTCCTTCAACAACCATTTCTGCCAGATCCACAGAATGTTTTGCAATCTCATGGAGAATTGAAAGGACCTGATGCAGTTAAGCAAAAAACCAAATCAAATCAATCAAAACATTGCTATGTAGAATCCACTGGTTCACCACAGAGTTCAGATATAATTTAAATAGCTTTATACATAGTCAAAGTCCTTTATAAAAAGGAAAAATTAAATATCTACAGAACATTTCCAAGTTTTGAGGCTTTCACATCCTAGTCTCATTCTCATTTTTAAAAGATTCCCTGATTTCCAAATTAGTTCTATTTAAAAACTGTATTGCAGATGATTAAATAGTACCACCACTGGATGAACATTATTTGTTTGATACTTATGATACATATAATTTAGTACAAAAATGATTAACAGAACATCTCATTTTTAGTATGATATTGACACCATTTTAAAGAACTTATCCATTGCTTAGTTAACATTAACAATTTTGTACTTTTATAGGGTATAATGTTTAGAACACGAAAGCATAATTGATTACTAATAACTGAAAATAAGGATTTTGAAAAGGACAAACATAAGACCAATTTCACGGGAAACTTGAATATTACAGTGGTCGCTAGAAAATCTTTAGTTCCCTTTCAACTCTGAGATTTGATTCCTTTGTCATTGATGTTTATATTGATGCTACTTTTAGTTTTCAACACTGCGCAGTTTTCCCAACCACATCTTCACTGTCTATTCTTATAGTATTATTTTCATATATTAGAAGATCAAGATATAACATGTTCATGTGTTTTCAATGATGTTTTATTAATTATATTTTAGCTCTATAATATGAATCTGTACACCTTTCCATTTTGTTAGATTGTAAGAAGGCTGGTTTGTTTGTTGCTTAACTATACTGTAAAGTACCTTTAGAGTTGAGGATCATCTAGGCTAAGAAAGCAATAGCTCCTGTGTCTCCTACTGT